GGAAGACAGAATATTTTAAATGTAAATGTAGCAGAAATTTATCCTCGAAATTAATCAGCTTTAATTTCTTCTTCAATTAAATTTAGAGCTTGACTCTTACATTGGTAAGATGTCGAAGGAATATTTAACTTTCTCTATTTTATAATTTTTGTCTTCTAAAATGCATATCAATCACTCATTTTATTAGTTTTATTGCTTCAGCGGGATCCAGAGGTCTAGGTTTAATGTGACGTAGTTGCTTGCGAAGGATCTTGGGTTTGCAACTAACCTGATAAGCGGCCTCCGTAGTCTAAGGGTAACGTTCCCACCTCGTGACTCAAGGTACGCAGGTTCAAACCCGGGGGAGGTCGTGGAATTTCAAGGGCGGAAAATTTCAGGGAACAAGTCCTCCGGGAGGGACTTTAAGCCGTGGGTCCCGTGTCGTGGCTTTACGGCACGTAAAAGAATCTCATGTCCCAAGGGGACCTCTGAGCCAAATTCAGGATATTTCCCGCCCAACAGTAGTCTCTAACGCCTCTGGTAGATGGGGGAAGCATCGAGATATCGCTGAGCCAATAGAGGCCGAACTCGCTGGTTGAGTCGGGACTGATTGCACGCACCAGTACCGGTAGGGTATAGAGACTGGTAGAATATCACAGGGGGACGCACAATGGACCAATATCTGGTCTAAGTGCATGGGGAAACTCACCCTCTCCAATAACAACAACAACTAACCTGATGCAATTCGGATCTTTTCCTTGCCTCTTATCTACTGCAAAATACAAAGAGATCAATTTGGATAAAATATTATTTATATTAGTAATAATGAAATCAATAAGTGATCAATGTTTTGAAGGAAAAATACGTGTTACAGTATTCTATACTTTAAATGTATGTTGCTTTTACAATAAATATCATGTGTCGTGTTATTTTTACCAATATTTTTGCTTAAAGCGAGGCACGACCACAACAGAAGGTAGTAGATCACTGGCAGTTTTGACACTAAAAAGTCGATCACAACCTGTTTGAAGTTGGACATGCCTGGTCTATAGGGTTCTAAATATCAAGGGATTTTTTGAACAGCTGTATAGCTATAAAACATCCAAATATTCAGTTATCAGGTCTCTGTTAATTGTAATATGAGTTACTTATTTATGGCATATATAATAGTTTAAAAGGAATATCTTTTTCAGACTAAAATACGAAACAGAATTCTGTATTTTAAAGAAATCATCTCGCTTCTTTTGGTTAACGCTCTCTGTCACTAAGCAATTTTCCGCTTTGAGCCAATAATTAAATGAGCTTTTTTCTGTCCCTTACTGTCAATATGAATGATATGCTGTCATTAATATCTGGAATCTGATTACATTTAACTGCACAAATTGCCGTTGACGTGGCTCTAGCCACCGCCAATAAAACACTTACTGCTTCAGTCAGTTAACAGTTTCAACGTACATCATAGATTTCAGCAGATTTTGTGTAGATGGAAGAACTAGTTCTGTCAGCTATTGCATGTCCATGGGTAAAATGACGTTAGGTTCACTGACACACACAGCTAGCCATTTGTACCTGACGCTGCTTCTTCTGGGGTTGATACAGCTGTTGAAGTTTTACGGTGTTTAAATTACAAAGTTACTGATTAAATTGTGAGAGAACCGATCCAAACCAGAGGTTAGATATCACAATATGAGATCTATAATCTTATTAATTTTATTCTTAATATTGAAAATCTTCCTCTCCAAGTATAATTAAGATGATGAAGTCAAGGAGGATGAGATGGGCAGGGTATGTAGCACGAATGCAGGAGAAGATAGATGCATATAGGATATTGGTGGGAAAGCAAGAAGGAAAGAGACCATTGGGAAGACAGATGTTGGTGGGTGGACAATATTAAAATGGTTCTTCGAGAAATAGAGTGGGATGGTATGGATTGGCTTTAACTGGATCAGGATAGGGAGCAGTTTAGGGCTCTTGTGAATATGGTAATGAACCTTCAGGTTCCATAAAATTCTGGGATATTTTTAGTAGTTGCACAATTGGCGGCTTCTCAGGAACGGCTGAGCTCCATGAGTGAGTGATATAAGAATTGCCACAACCGTGGAAGGTGAACCCTATATGAGAAAGTATGTGCACTGTCTTGGCACCGAAGGCCGGAAAAAGCCAGCGGCAAATTACTGCTCTGCTCAGAATAGTCACAGAAAGATCAACTCTTCTTCTTGTCGAGCAGGAGGCCCTATTTCAAAACACAAAATTGTATTGGAAGGAATGAAAATAAGATCACGTATCCCGAAGGGGCCAAAAACCAGGAATGACTGTCCTGGCCATGGCCAGTAGCAAATTACTGCTCTGCTCTTTGCACCGACTTTAATTTGAGAAGGAAAATGCAATCTGGTTTTCGTGAGTGCAAACAGGTGCAGCAGTTCCCCTAAGCGCAACATCTCGTTAGACCAAACCCAAGTGTTCTTTAGAGATGTATTCTCCGACGATATGCCTGAAGGCTTTGTCGAAGAAAAACTCTGAAAATGAATGCAGTCCAAATGAACACAGCGTAGTCAACAAGACAAGATGTTGAAATATTTTTACAAGCTCCTTTCTATAGGGTGCGACATAAATTATAGTACATCCTTTAATACTGGGGAATTACTTCATTTCACAGGGGTAAGCGGAAGCGTAGTTGGTTGAGGAACTTTACTACAAGCCGGAAGGTCGCGGGTTCTAGTCACGATGAGGTGGGCTTTTTTTTTCAATTTACCTAATCCTTCCAGCCGCACTATGGCCCTTTGGTCGACTCAACCTCTAACAGAAATTAGTACCAGGAATGTTCCTGGGAGGGGGAGGGTAAAGGGAGGCCGACGCGTAAGGCTGACAACCTTACCGCCATCTGTGAGCCGATTGTCTAGATAATGTGGGAGCCTCAACCTCTCAAATCCCTATGGTCCTCCACGGCCTGTTACAGGGATAGACTTCATTTCACAACAGAACTTTCTTTTAATGAAGAGGCTCCAAAGCTACCAAACACAGAGAGCTTGACGTTATATTTTGTTAACCAAGCTCGGTATAACAAACACTTAGAAGTGTCATTCTATTGTGTAAAACAGTAGTAACATGTACTGCATATCTAACCAAGGAGCAGCTGTGTTTTGCAATTGACATTACTCGTATTTCGTTACAGCGTACTCTATAAGTCCCTCCCATCAGTCTGTGTGTCTGTTTGTGAATCCCCTTTCGGTCGTTAGGCAACATATCGATAAAAAAGTTGTTGCGCCAATGAATACACATGCAACAACAGAATAATTGTTAGATGCGTCGTCTTCTATGCTATCCGCGTAGTATGAAAAGAAAGTGGGCGGTTACTTCTTCCCATGACTTCTCGTAAAGCCTATGACTCGAAGGTTCGTTGTCGTGCTTACAAAAGCTTGCCGTTGAATTCTACCCTGAGCCAGTTCCATGCTGTCCGCACGCATCGCCTTCTGCCTGCAGATTACGTTGCGATGCTGTCCTCGAAGTATCCTGTTTCTTATAAGCTGTTAATTCTTCTGAGATTTCCCGACCACAATTTTGAATGAATTTGTCATTTTCCTCGTACATGATACATGTCGTACTAATCTGACGGTTGGATTGTTATCTTTCATTAGACAGTTTCTAAACAAGAATATTTGCAGAAAGTGAGAAAAGTTTGCAAATTCTGAACATGTTACACTTTCCAAAGGTACAAGTAATTTTAAAGTTTGGGGTTCTGTATTATGATTACTGTCTCCTGGGACGTGGTCCGGAGTGTTGTAACAGGAAGTATACTTCAACAAAGATACTCTGGAGAACGCGTTTCTCCGAAACTTATGTACACGTCTAGCAACCTACACGGCCCAATGTCACAAAATACCGCAGTGCAAATAATAATATAAAGTAAAGGTGGCTTTGGTCCGATCTGTAATTTATCAGCCTATATATACATTATCTTCATTTTGCACTACAGCCCAAATTTTGGCCTTAGCCTACCTCCATGAAACTCTCCGTTTCACTTTGGTTTACTTGATCTTAGACATTCGGTAGGACTCCTTTGGCGGGTGATCAGCTCATCGCAAGGTCTCTCTGTACGAAAACACAGAAAAACGCACACACATGCACACAAACAAACAAACAAACAAACAAACAAACAAGCACTAAACATCCATGCCCGAAGTGGGATTGGCGCCCAATCACCCGTCTCTAGTTCATGCAAAATATATGAGTTAAATAATTTGCCCTAATTACACCGTCATGCGACATGGCGGATGCATGAGCAACTTGGTCGCTACAGTAGTAGGCGTTAATGTATTGGTACTGTATCTTCCAAACATAGCAAAGTGGATAGATTCGATTCTACGGCTCGTCTTACAGGGTTTTAGGGGCTTCGAATTCCTTTATACGATTGTAGAGAACAGAATGAAATGCTGTAGAACCACTGTGAGTATTATTGGCAGTGTTTGAGGGGTATTTTGTAACATTATGAGGTACCAACTTATCTGGAGATACTGAAGGAACCCACGGAAATTCAGTTAATTATAGTCAGCTCCCGATAGAATCATGAACTAGGAACCCCTAGTTATCGCTGCGTCACCCGAGAGCTTGAGAATCTTTTGCATGTGCTTTATAAAGACACTGTGAAAATGGTGGACATAACTGACGGTATGGCGTCCAGGTCATCTTCATGTAATTCCGTCCATTAATTCATAAGTTATCAGCCGCGACGTATACAAAGACATGACGTCCGCTCTAACAAGGCAAGTGAGCCCACAAAAATGTTAAAACTGTTAAATCTTCAAGAGATTAGACAGAGAATGAACGCACGCAGCACAGAGACTTGTTCTGGCACTGTTACGTATTCTGAGAAGGTAGTTTAGACACTATGACGTCATTGATAGCTTCCCCGCCGGTTACAGGGAAGTTTGAGCTTCGTATTACAACAAAAGCTGAGTCATCATTTGAAGAAGAGTCGGGTAGACATAAATGCTGTTTCTTGTGACACTAAGTTTCTGTTCCAGCCCATGTCTTGGATACTTCTAAAGATCAGCCCAGAGAATTGAGGGGAAACTTCTTCAAATATCTGCATGGTTGAAGAATTCTATCTTCTGTGATAAAAAGCCATGTAGTCCGGTGAAAGAATAAACCAAGAAAGAGATCAGCGTGAGGAAAGTACAGCTGCTTAACACTGATTGCCTCTTACACTCATTCTTCGACCCTGAATATCGATGTGACATGTACCTCCGTAGCTTCATTTAACTTTCAACGGAATACATCCGGAAACGGAATATAACCCAATATACCACGAATTACACACTATCTACACAGAACAACATAACAACACCCCACCACCTACCCCCACAACATCATAACTCAATCAAAACGAAGACAGCACACACACAAATACCCAGCAGGCCCAGCAGTATAACACATGCAGTCACAGGAGCAAGACACAACAAAAGCACAGTGAGTATTAAACATTATAATACCACAAGTAACAAATAAAATTCAGAACGCAGTATTAATGAATAACAATTTCACGTTACAAATACACACACGAAAGTAGGAAGAATACTCCGATAGAAGAAGATAGGTGTGACTCGTGTATTGAGATACGACATAAGGATGACAAATCCTGAACAGTTTTAATATTTTTAATATTTAATATTCATCAATATATATGACGAATATATATTTTAATATAAAGACAACAGGGCATGCAATGAACTAGTCTGACGTACATCGAAAAGCACCTGAAGATGGCACTTTTGTGCTGAAACATGTAGTGCAAGAGAGAAGAGTAAGGTGAATAAATGTATGCACTGTAAGACGGTTAGAATAAATCATGGAATACACGTCGGTATATCTCAGAAGAGAGAACGCTTCATAACTACAAAAGCGAGAAGCTCAGAACTTACATCTGCATAGTTCTCAACCCGTATATTATCCATGAATCTCATGTCAAGGGAATCCAGTTTTAAGTCATGAAATCTCGTAGAAGAAAATTAAATAATAAATAAAAACAAATTCTTCATATTTATATTTTCGAGTTCAACAGCCATTGCTCTATTTCAGTATCGCAAAATAATTTTCAGACGGGTGTATAATATTTCTTCTAAACACAATGGTGGAATTGTTTTTTGTTTTAACTTCTTGGTACTTACTATGTCCTCAGAATCAATTACGCAAAAAATAAATTATGTGGATATCAAGGAATATTTTGTTGCACCGTGAAGAGAATGTGTCAACGGAAGTCGCCAAATTGCAAGATCAGTTTTCATAACCAGTTCACCATTCCTTCTGTAGGGCCCTGACTTTTGGTACAGTTACTGCACTTACATAACGCGGAGGATGTTATTAGGGACTGTGTTAACTGAGGTGTTTTTATTTAATATCACACCTGAAAAATATTAAATGAAACTTAAGAGCTTGAGCTCCATTTGCTATAAACGTAGAAATTTATATTCTATTTCAAACTTAATAGATCAACAATATGATTTAGCTCATCGTTGCTAAAAATGAAAGAAAATGTCACTTTTACGTTTTGGAATACCTTTCTATTCGTTGTTTTATATGTATTATCACTTACAGACCTAATCCTTTAGATTGCATTAGCTTAAAGCTGCCTCTGAGAAGGATCAAAAGATTTATGTTATTTTGAAAATGAATTTTAGATTTATTAATCATGATACTCGTATTTATCTCGTTCTTCTCATTATTGAATACGCATTCAAATTAAAATCACCGAATTCTCCTTAATCATTAGTATGGTCTGTTCTACTGCTTTAATTGAAATACGTTTATGTTCATTATGTTCTAATAGTAATTTTCATAGAAGACGCTAATATTTACATTTTCCTCGTTTTAATCTACGTACCACATGCATTTCCAAGAAATTTGATTTCTTTTTTAAATGAAATTAAAGGTGTATTAATTCTGATGTTCGTCGGCTTCGGTTTGTTTACAAAAACGTGGGGTAGCCTACAACTGCTTCCAGGTCCTCGAAGTGTTCAATTCCCACCAATCGACTATATTATCAATTTGTTTTTCATATAACCCAAACTTCCATGATTCTATTGATAGGATAATTGAGACTACATATGTTAATATGATTTTAATTTGGCAAAGGATTAGGATGGTAGCAATCCTGGCCTATTTGAGGAAAGTATGAAATACATTTCTTTGAATTTAAGACACAAATATATTAATAGGAAACGACTAACTCTTAGGTCATTTAATGATCCTGCCACAGTTGAGAATGTCAACCCTTTGGCAATCAGTTTTTTCGCTATGATATCACTCAATAAGCTCATTTTCTAAACTACGGGAAGTGTTCGCGGATGAAGCTATCTTCAGTTCCATGCTGGTATAGTCAAATACGTATATGGTAACGTATATGACCATTGCCAGACAATGGTTCGGTAAAAACATTCCCGAGGTTTCTTTTTATTGCTAGTGGGGTGGGACTAAGTCCTTTGTACTGCGGCCACTTCTGGCCTATTGTACCAGCCCCAGATGATAGGTGAGGGTGATTGTGGAGCAATTGGTGGAATGAAGATTGGCAGGGGAAACCGAAGTACTCGGAGAAAACCTGCCCCAGCTTCACTTTGTCCACCACAAATCCCACTTGGCCAGACATGGGATCGAACCCGGGCCGCCGTGATGGGAAGCCACCGACTAACCGCTTGAGCTATGGCGCGGCCCTTCCTGAGGCTACGCAGTCAACAGCGGAAGGACCTCCGTTGCCGGGTAGCAAGTGGCTAGTCACATTTCGTAGCAACGGATGAACTGATAATAACTGAGGAACTGTTTGAGATTGTGACCTACAGTCGCTTAACCTCGAAGTCATAAGAAGGGAACATGTAATTGGCTTGAGAGTTGATTCGTAAGGCAGCTGTCATTCGAGTTCCGTTCAATTCATTCCAGGAGAGTTAATGCGATTTCAATGAGTCAGTCGTAAGAGAACTCAGAAGTTGAGTGTGGGGGTTAACCAGCGGTCAACGGAAGCTGAAGAAGTGACCGATTCGTAAATCAGAACTGAGTCAGTCACGCTGAAGAGAGACACACACATAGTTCAGTAAGGAACAGAGTGAGTCTTAGGAAGCCATGGATTGTGAGATTGGTTGTAATTGTAATAGAAGTGATAATAAACTCAATCATCATTATTGTTAGTCACGGAACCACGGACACGTGAAAAAATATTTGGAACTCAACAAATTTTCAAGGATGATCAAATTCACGTTAAACTTTCTCATGGTCAGACACGGTATCACATATCAGAAGGCCGTAATCTTGATTTAAGTTCTGTCCGACAGAACAAAAATCGTTCTTATTCATCAATGCCAAGAAACATGAAGATCGGCTTCAGGACCACAGCAACTGGAAGCGGTACCGCTTCTTGACAACGAGTGGACAGTGAGAAGGCTCAAAGAGACCCCAGCCGTTTGAATTATGCTAGTGTAAGTGTAAGTGTTGCGATGAGCTGAGTCCTACCGTGTGTAAAATTATCATGAAACTGATAAATCAGCCCTATGCTCCAAAATGGGAGCGAGAGGAGAGAGAAAAAAGTGTAAGTGCACGTTAGTGAAAATACTGAGATGCAGACTCAAGCCGGCTGAATTAGTGCGACAACAATGTGCTCAAGACACCAGATGCTCGGACACACCGGTGGGCGTAGTCTTAGTTGTTTGGTTAAAGTTGTATTAGTTTAAGTGAGAATAGAAATGCTCGTTAGTGTTGGACTAGTTGCATTGTTAGAATACAAAAAAAAAAAAATAATTCGAGAGGCCCTACTAGGCAGCAGCGCTCCACACCCTCAGTAGCAATGAACACGTTTATGTTCTCTAGAAGTAAATAAGACGATATACACAGGGCTGAACTGGTTCAACGTAAGTTCCAGTTATGGGAGTTTGTGAGTACGGCCAGGAAATTACCATTTCAATAAAAGATGGGGAATTCATAATTTTATTTTTGAACTCTCGGATTTACAACCGTGGCTCGACAACAGCAGCTTCTTTGGAAGAGAAAATTACAAGTAAAAGTAACAGATATTAGCGTAGTTACTTCTTCTAGTTTCACGAGTATATTCAATTGCTTTGCTTTGAATACATTTTCTAAATTGAATTGTTTAATTAGTAATAAAGAGTCCTGCTTTATTTAATCTTCCTGCCGTGTACCATTACGCTCATGTACCACATGTACAGGTACCTATAGCTACGTGCTTCACAATTAACATTGCATGGCTCACAACCAGGGCTGTAAAAACTCACTCGTGTGCTCTTTCGTGACAAGTAAACATCACATTGCAATTTATTCGTTAGTAACCTCTTCCGCTCTTTTATTTATTTATTTATTTATTTACATCTGCAGACCTAGAACAGAAATTTGTATTTGACGTGGGTATGGCGGGCCTCTGTTAACAAGTCACTAGCGTGTTATAACATCGGAATTTATGGAAAGAATTAGAGTAAAATACGGCAGAGCCGACGTCTCTGAATTAGACAGGAGACGTAATGGATGACCAGAAAATTTGTGTTAAATTCCTGGTGGGCACAGAGAGTTTTCTCTTCAGCCCCCTATCAAGACCGTCTCTGGCGCACGCGCAGACCTTCATGGGTACTGATTACCCTTTTCAGGACGTGAAGTGGCCAGAGTGTGAAGATGACTACTGAACTGGATATAGGGCCCAGGTTAGAAATCTGCGGAGCTATACCTCCACTGATCCTACATATTCACTACAAGGTACTTAATTACGCACAAGAACTACACTAACTTTACAATTACAATGACATGTGCAGGTGAGATTTCTCCCGAGAGCACGTGTCTGGCAAACAAAATATTATTCTCACTCGTAAACTGAGCCGACGCTTGAGGCCACGCCATAGCTCAAGCGGTTAGTCGCTGACTTCCCACCGCGGCGGCCCGGGTTCAAACCCGGAACTGGTCAAGTGGGATTTGTGGTGGACAAAGTGACGCTGGGGCAGGTTTTCTCCGAGTACTTCGGTTTCCCTTACCAATCTTCATTCCGCCAAATTATCCATCATCATAATCACCCGGGGCACGCTGCAATAGGCCAATCAATGGCAGCCGTGCCTAGTGGACCCAACTGGACTCCACCCCCAACTATGTGAAAAACAAATACTGAGCCGACGCTTCTGGACACCGACTCATAGCGTCTTTAATATGCAGCGTTCTGAAAATTTTCAACACGTTATAG